TATTGAGTATGTTCTACATATTTTTTTCTTAAAGTTGATTACTAACAACTACTTAAAATTTGTATCAATTTAATTATCTCTACTCATAAAAAAAAGTTGTTAATTTTTCTTTTATAAACCTTTTAAACCTTGAATAAATATTAATTTAATAAGTAGAGCATTATTTTGATAAAGTTAATTGTAGATATTGTTAATAAATTTAAACAAATAATAATAACATTGTATCAGTCAAGACGATTGAATACCATCATTAGATAAACTAATTAGCAAAATATTATACTTTATAATATATATATATAATCGACATATAAATTGCATATGTATGTGGCTAAAAAATAGGTCAAACTTTAACAGCATGATATGAATAAAGAGAAGAATCGTTATCTATAAGTATATTGTTTTTGTGCGCTATGCACTTTCCACTTAGAAAACGAAAGCGCAGTTCGTTCGTTTTTTACATTAAATAAAACTATGTAAAGAATTTTATATAAATACTTGTTTTATTTCGCTTTCACTAAATGAAAATCATTAATTTCGATATATTTATCATTTATATTCGAAGAATAATTTTGATAACATTAATTTTTCATCAGCACATGATAAATTTTGTTGAATATAATCAACAAATTATGATATCAAATTGAAAAAACAAACAAAACAAAAAATAAACAATCACCTCCAAGTTTTATCTTAACTCTAAAAATGCAAAAGAAAAGCTGTCCTCTTTTTTTTTCCGTTATCTGCAATAAAAACTTACTTGTGACATTATACTTATGACTCATTAGAAACAGCCATTTTATAAATCATGGATTGATGTATTGTTTATTAATCTATACCTAGGCAAGTTTTGAATTTAATTGTTATTCAATAAAAATTCTACTCCATCGTAATATAATTATTAATTTTAATAATCAATTTTTTTCGAACAAACGTTTAAATTATTTTAAATTTTTAGATGTCAACGTTAATAGCAAATAGAGTTATATCTTACTTTTTTATATTCGATTTTTACCATGTAAAAGGATCAAAAGACGATATTGATCTTTTTCCAGAATCAATTATTTATTTTTACCCAGCAAAAGAAGATCTAATGAGACAAGTATTTATATAATAATCTGTGTGACAAAAAAAAGGAATCAAATGCTATACAAATAATTATATATTTAATTTTGCTCATGATATTTTTTTTATAAATAAAATCAATTTAAATTAAAATATCCTGTTTTTTCTTGTCCAGAAACTTGTTGATTGTGGAGAAATTATTGGTTTAATACAATATTTCAAATATGATTTATTCTCATCTATACCAAAAGAATTTAATTTTAAAAAATCATTTGTTATATGTCAACATTATGGAAGACATTGTGCGGTGAATATCATTTCGAAATTTAATAATTCATTTTATTTCATTGTTTTTTTTTTATTTAGTTTTTAGTTCTATCTAAAGATCGATTCATTTCAGACGAAGCAAATATTCATCTTAATCATATTCTTCAATTATTTAATATGCTCTATGGTACATTCAATCATATACAATCCGTATGAAAATAAAAAAAAAAATTAAGTCAAAAACATTTTCAAATAATTATATTTATAGACTTATCCAGATATTCATCAAATTCGTATGTATCTGAAACAAACATTAACACCAATTACGGAATATATATTTAATGAAAATCGTTCAATAAAAAATCTTTTTTCAACTATTGATTATGCACCATTAAAACAAGTAAGAAAATAAAAATCATTTCTTTTTTTTTTTTGTTTCTTTGGATTATTTTTATAGAATAATCGACAATGTTTATTTAATATTAAACATCTTTTAAATCATTTACAATCAAAATATGAAATTAAAGATGGACTTTTTGCCTATGAAAAAAGGTTTATTAAAATAAATAAACTTCAAATAATTTTATATTTTGTTCTGAATTTGTAGAATATTATATTCAACTTTGGATAGTGATACAACATTTTATCTACAAGTAATTCTCAATTTAGAGCACAATCTATCAGTAAGTAATTTTTCATGATTTTCATTAATGAATTAGTAAGACCTTGCAAAGAATACTCTCATATAACTCAAATTGATTATGATGATATGTAGAAATACTGAAATTTATTATTTTGAAATCTAACTAGATCTTATATTATTATCGAGGAAGAAATTATGATTATGATGGTTCGTAGGTATTGTTTCAATATAGCTCGTTGAGTTATAAATTTAAAAACTATGTCCGAATCGTGTGAATAGATATATATGAATGAAATTACAATTGAAATACAAAATTATTTGTCCTACTTAGGCTCAAATCAGATTTCGAGAAAGTAAATACTAACAACTAAATCAGTTGGATTATAGCAACAAGCCATGTCAACTTTATCGATTATGATAGAAAATTATTTTAAGTTTGTCTTTATTAAAATAATGGTTAAACACGATTTTTCTGTTGAGATATCAGCAAATGTAAGGATAAAACGGGTGATGCAGACTAAACAAACAATATTATTCTCTTGTTTCTTTTTTTTTCGAACACTCAGATATACTTTCAAACACTCATTCGATAGAGCAATTTTTACTCTACAAAACTGTTGCGTTTATTTTCCAAGTAATTAAATTTTGTTTTAACAAAATTTAAAATAATAACACTTGCTCAATCGTCTAACTGCGATGACCAAAAGAAAGAAAAAATTATGCAAATTTTCTTTTTAGTAACAGTTTTCTGAAATGATAAACATGTCGTCAAATTCTCTACAAAATTCTGCATCTGTTAATCTTTGTTTCAGAATTTTAGAAGAAATATTTGTGAAAATAATCATGAAGTGAAAACTGAGAATAAAACCTTGTCTGATAGGATTACGTGATTGTTCGTTTTTATTTTAATACAACCTAATCATTCGTATTCTTTAATTTAGTAGTCATACTATTTTGTTTAGAATTAAATCTCACACTCGACAGCGTGAGAATAATTGTTTCATACACGAATTCTTACTTTGAAAAATCATGTTTTCCGATATGCACAAAAAAAATATGAATAAGATGGTGGAAAAAAATTTAACAATAACGTATTTTTAATTTGTTTCTATAATATTTAGTAATTAGCTCAAATCCAGATAGGGATTTTATTAGCTGATGAAGTACTCTATTTAATACATTCTATAGTAAGTTCCATCGATAACTTATAATGGTAAAGATTTCAAAAAAATTGGACATGGTAGTTTTCAGATACGAGAAGACTTTATCGGAACTATTGCTTTAATAATGCCATTTTAGAGAGAATACAATGAGGAGTCGCTACATTTTCTACAATATTTTCTTAAAAAGTAATACATCACAAAAACCGAAAAAAGGCTTTTTTCAGCGATTTTTTGATAAATTTCGTTTTTTTGTGGTAGTTGTGTTGCTTTAACTTTTGAAGGGAATGACGTAGAAAATGCGACAATCTCTCATTTTGTTCATGTGAAATGACGTTGTGAAAACAATAGCTTTGGCAAAGTCTTTTGAGATCTGAAAACTACAGTGCCTGGTTTTTTTTAGAAATCTTGCTATCATAGTTCATCTATGAAGCCTTGTTATAGAATGCATTAAATAGAAAATTCCATGGGCTATTAAAATTACTGTCTGGATTTGAACTAACTGCTTAAGATTATTTTAGAAAAATCAAAAATATATTCTTGTTCGGCTCTTTTCCAACACCTTGAGATGGTTGCAGAAGCGGGGAGTACAAAATTCTCTAGTCATTGATACCAACTGCATTATTGTTGGGATTGATCTTTATGAGAAAAGACATATACAAATTGATTGTAATCTGCAAAAAATCAATGATCGTAGTTAGACGATTGAGCAGATGTTCATATCTGAAATTTTACTTCAACAAGAAAATGTTATTTCAAAAAAAATTCCAAAGTTTTAAAAAGCAAAAAATTCTCTATCAAATGACTTTTTGAAAGTGTATCCAAATGCCCCCGAAAAAAAAAAGAAAATGATATTGTCCCATTTAATCTGTATCACCCGTTGCTATTTGTATCTAGTTGAGAATTGTTTCGATTATTTGATAATGAAATTTTTCTATTAATAATTTGTTTTTTAGGCAAATGAAATATACATTCCGTTAGAACCCGAAACAAAATTAAAAAATGGTGTATCACTTATTCGAATATATATTCGTCGACCATTGAGTATGCAACCAATTTTAAATACTATTAATGTAAAAACTAAACAAGACACTAACCTTCAAATACCATCAGAACCGATTAATATAATTATGCCATTATTACTTGAGAAAAATGAAACATCTTCATTAAATATTCATTTGAATAGTACGTATGATTCGGTATCTTCTGGCATTCAAAGACAATTTGATCTAGTTATTCAAAAAGATTTATCTGATTCATTAGGAGAAACAACAAGTTTCGATACTGATCGACCAAGGGGTGGTTCATCCCCAAATAAAAGTAAGATAAATGGTATTATACCATCTGTCAATAACAAAGAATCTACCTCAATGAAACAAGTAACTATCTTTTCATTTTAATATGTATTTGTTGGTTTTTTTTTAATATATTTTCCTTGATTTAGTTTTCAAAAGATGAATTCAATTCAATATTTTCATCTAAATCACAGAATGAATTATTATCTGATAGTCAAAAACGAAGACATGAATATGAACGATCTAATTCTATAGTATCTCTAAAAATAGATAAAGAATCATTAAATTTTAATGATTCAATTGATAAAGTTACAATTGTACCTATAGACAA